CCTCCCTGTGCAGAATCTTATAAGAATTAGACTTTTAGAAAATGGGTGAATGAAAATGAAATAAGCCTGCCAAATTGTTAAACATGGGTGGAAATCAAAAATATTTTAAATAATAATAGTTATTATTATTATTATTATTACTGAGATGGAGTCTTTCTCTGTCACCCAGGCTGGAGTTCAGAGGCACGATCTCAGCTCACTGCAACCTTCACCTCCCAGGTTCAAGTGTTTCTTATGCCTCAGCATCCCAAGTAGCTGGGATTACAAGTGCACACCACCACACCTGGCTAATTTTTTGTAGTTCAGTAGACAAAGGGTTTCACCATGTTAGTCAGGCTGGTCTCAAACTCCTGATCTCAAATGATCCACCCAGCTGGGCCTCCCAAAGTACTGGGATTGCAGGCATGAGCCACCATGCCTGGCCTAAATAAATTATTTTAAAACAAAGATATATTGCTTTCTCCATTATTAAAAATAAGAAATAGTTTAGATAGGTATTTTAACCGCAAATATATTAAGTCAGCATTGCATCTAAGATTAAAAATGTAATTGTCAGTGTTTATTAATCAATTTTAATTGTTAATGGGATTCTTTCATTCAATAAATATTGAGCACTGCAGCAGAGATTGCTTGCTGTAAATTCCAATATCTGTGTTCCCTCTTTTAGAAGCCCTGACTTTTAGCTGATCATATGGACATCTGGAATGAATATGTGGTCCCCAAGTCCCCACCTCAGCTTGAGTCCAGAAGACAGAGGTTGCAGTGACTCAAGATTGCACCTCTGCAATCCAGTCTGGGTGACAGAGCAACTGTGTCTCAAGGGAAAAAAAAAGAACGCAACATGCATACCTAAAAACTTTGAAGATCAGAGCCACCACACTCACCCTAGCTGCTCAATTCTAGACTTCAACGTAAGAGAAAAAAATAAACTCCAACTTTTTTTTGAGACAGGGCTCACTCTGTTGCCCAGGCAACATGACATGATATCAGCTAACTGCAGCCTTGACCTCCTGTGCTCAAGCAAATCCTCCCACCTCAGCTTCTTGAGTAGCTGGTCCTATAGGCCTATGCCACAACACCCAGCTAATTTTTGGGGGTCTTTTGTAGAGACAGGGTTTCACCATGTTCCCCAGGCTGGTCATGAATTCTTGGGCTCAAGTGATCCTCCTGCCTCAGGCTTCCGAAAGTGCTGGGATTGCAAGCATGAGCCAGAGTGTCTGCCCATGTCCAACTTTTTACATCACTGTTACTTGGGGTTTTTACATTACTTACAGTGAAATGATCCTACTGGATTCAAACACAAATTATAAGATATTATCATTTCTAAGCGTTAAAGTAAAAAAAGATGAGTAAGGCCAAGTTTCTGCATACAATCAGCTTAAAATTTAGCAGCAATAATGATGTAGAAAGAGTACCAGACTAGATTACAACAGATTTTTCCTGTTTAATAGGTTTCAAACCAATTCCCTTCCTCTGGTAAAACCAACCACTTTTCTTTAGGGAGACTTGTCTTCCATATCTTGAGATCCAATTTTAATTCCTATACCCCCCACTCCTGAGCCAACTTCAATTATTTGAGAATGGAGGAAGAGCTGGAAAATCTAACACAGCCTAGCCAATTAAAGTACTAGCAATTGTATCTGATTCAGAGATGAGCATATGAATTACATTTGGCCATTCAGAATCCCACTGTATTAATCAGCTATCACTGCAAAGTGTTGGAAAACTGAACAACCCACAACTCAGTACTTGTATTAATCTGTTCTCACACTGCTACTAGAAACTACCTGAGACTGTGGGTAGTTTATAAAGAAAAGATCTTTAATCGACTCACAGTACGGCAGGCTGTACAGGAGGCACGGCTGGAGAGACGACAAGAAACTTACAATCATTGGTGGAAGGTGAAAGGGAAGCAAGCACATCTTCACACAGTGACAGGAGAGAGAGAGCACAAAGGGAAGCGCTACACACTTCCAAACAACCATATATCATAAGAATTCACTATGAGGAGAACAGCAAGGAAGAAACACACCCCCATGATTTAATCACCTCCCACAAGGTTCTTCCTCAACATTGGGAATTAGAATTCAACATGCGACTTGGGTGGACACAGAGCCTCTGGTTATAAGGGCTCATGTGATTAGATTGGGCTCACCCCAATAATCCAGAATAACCTATTTTAAAGTCTATAACCTTAATTATATCTACAAAGTCTCTTTTGCTATGTTAACATACATATTCAAAAGACCCAAGAATTAAGATGTGGCTGTCTTTCTTTTTTTTTTTTTTTTTTTTGAGACAGAGTCTTACTCTGTCACGCAGGATGGGGTATAGTGGCATGCACCACCATTCCTGCCTAGTTTTTCTAGGTTTTTTTTTTTTTTTTTTTTTTTGGTAGAGATGGGTTTCATGGTGTTTCCCAGGCTGGTCTTGAACACCCAGGCTCAAATGATCAGCCCAAATCAGCCTCCCAAAACGCTAAGATTACGGGTGTGAGCCACCATGCCCCACTGATCCCCAGTGTTGGAGGTGAAGCCTGGCTGGGGACCGGGAGCAGTGGGGCTGGATCTTGGGTATGGATCCCTGATGAATGGCTTGGTGCCATTCTCTAGGGAATGAGTCAATTCCCACTCTTAATTCCCAATGACACTAATTGTTTTGTTTCGTTTTGTTTGTTTAAAAAAAAAAAAAAAAAAAAGAGAGAGAGAGCTTGGAATCTCTTCCTCTCTCTCTTGCTTGCTCTCTGGCCATGTGATGTCCGTACACACTGGCTATCCTTTGCCTCCTATCACGAATGGAAGCAGCCAGAGGCCGTCACCAGAAGCAGATGCTGGCACCATGTTTCTTGTACAGCCTTCAGAACCATGAGCCAAATATACCTCTTTTCTGTATAAATTATCCAGCCTTGGGTGTTCCTTTATAGGAACATAAACTGATTAAGACCAGCAGTAAAAAGAAACCACTGTTATAACACACCATTATGAATCTCAAAAAAAACATGCTGAATGACAACATCCAATCACAAATGAACAGACTGCTTAATTCCACGTCCATGAATTTCTATAACAGATGAAATTAAACACTTAGTCATATAAATTAGGTCCCATGTTGGAGGAGCTTGACCAGAAAGGAACAGAAAGAAATGTTGGGACTGTGGAAATATTCTATATTTTCACCGGGTAGCGGTTACTCAAGTGTATGTATTTGTCAAAGAGCGTTTTTTAAATGGGCAAATTTTATTTCTGTAAATTATTCTTTGATATTTTTTTAAAAGCCAGCAACGAGAGTTTTAAGAATAGCAAGTAAACAATGTGAAATGCCATAGAAAGGAAGACAACTCTGAGAATTGAAAAGAACTTGTTTCAATTTTTAAAATTTAGTGATTTTAGAACACTTTAATGACTCGTTTTAAGAGTCCTTTTTTAAAGAATCCTTTTTATTGAAAAGATGGGTAGAATCCAAGATGCAAGATATTTTAGTCGTAGTTACCTAGAATGAGAAATTCAAAGAGGAAAGGCACAGGCTTTTCTATTTCAGTTAGTGCATCTCAAACTTCGATGAACATAGGACTCACCTGGGGGGTCTCGTTAAAGTGCAGATACTGATTTAGAAAATCTCAGGTGGGACCTGAGAGGCTACATCTCTTAATAGGAAAACAGATAACGTCAATGTTGCTGGTTCATCTACTACAATTTAGGTAGCAAGGACACAGATCGCTCCTCTGAGGCACAGATGGCATAGAGAGCTAATTTGGCCCAGAAGTTTCCAGGATTTATGGAGTCCATTCCTGCCATCGGTTCAAGAATGCCTACACGTAGACTGACAGGCCAGCCCTCTTTCTACTTGAGTGCAACCAGAACATGTGCATACGATGCTGTGGAAAATAGCATTGATCTTAGGTCAGTAGCCTTGGGTTCAAATTCCAGCCAGTCCCTAACCAACTGTGATAACTTGGGTCAATTACTCCCAGGCTGCAAAATGAGAGAACAGTTTTTGTTTCTTCTCTCTAGGTTATTGTGAGGATTACAACAGAAAATGTAAGTGAAAGTACTGTATAAACCATACCCTAAAAAAACCAGAATAGCTTAAATAAAAATCAAGCAGAGTTTTGAAAACCAAGCAGGACCTAAAAATAAGAGTTGGGGCTCTGGGATTTTCCCCGTGGGCGTTGAGGGATGTACCATATTGGGGAAGGGGCGCCCACAACAAATCCATTTAAATACCTTCTGTATTTGAAATTATGCCTCTATCACGACACCTGAATATGAACTTTTTCTTCATTACCTACTTCAGCTGGCACTTAACTACAAGTTCAGTGAGAGTATTCTGCTTCTTTCTCCCGAAGTTGAAGAGCCACCCACGCACCTCTCGGTTTCTCCCGTCCACCCGCAGCCTTCCTGCCCCTGCAGCTGCGGCCTCCGCCCCGGGGCAGTAGTTTGCTCTACGCTGAAGGGAGAGGTGGCACGGACTCGTCTATCTACTAACCTCGAGGAGGGGGATGTGAGGAGCTACGTTCCAGAGAACCGTAAGAAACTCCAGCCAGGACACACGGGATCACAGGAGGACTCGAGTCGAAGGTGCGACGAAGGTGTAGGAGCGGAGAAGCGGGCCCATAGCAGCCCTGCGAGAGCGCAGGTGTGCCCATGGCCGCAACCCCCTCCCCACAGCCTTCACCGGATGGCGCCGGCGGGAGAGGGTGGGGCTAGGCGCGCGGCGGCCGCCTTCGCTGCAGCCGCCTCCGCTGCGGCCGGAAACAATAGTGGAGGAACCCGAGCCGTGTAGAACGGCAGTGGTGGCCCGCGAAGCAGGACGGTAAAGACCCCGCACCCCTTCTCCTGTCCTGCCTGAGTCCCGACGCTCTGTCCCATCGGCCAGCCTCCTTCGAGTTCCGAGCCCCGTGGCCCCTCGCGCTACTGCGCGCCAGGCGCCCGGACTGACGGAGAGACGGTTGCGGGTCCTCTACTCCCTGCGGGCAGCAGCGCGCCCCCAACGCTGGAGGCCAAACGAGGACCAGGCTCCCCGAAATGCTGAGGCTGGGCGAACCGGCCGCCGTGGCCTTCGGACGCTTTCTTCCGTTAGGGAGGAATCCCAGAGCGATGGGACGAGGCGCCCCCGCCCGCTGGGCTCCAGTCCGCGGCTCCCCCAGCTCCGTCTTGGGCCCCTCTGGCGGTGCCCGCACCGCGAAGCCGCCCCTCGGCCTTCTTCGGTGTAATTGCCCCGGACGGGGACGCCCTCCTCGGGTGTTCGGTACCCACGTGCATTTTTCTGCTGCCAACCTCCGTCCGATGCGAAGCTTCGCAACTCTGAGTTGCGAGACGCATCTAAGGTTCCCCCAGTGAAGTTGGCAGTGTCCCGTGCAGGTCGTTTTTCCTGTTTCTCACAGCGTTAACTAGGTTGACAGAACCTGGTAGCTCGAAAAGGCCTCGCTCCTAAGCTCTCTGATTATTCAATGTTGGGGTCCGAAGGAGGAGGACTAGAATGCCCACAAACTGCTTCAACTATAGGACAAAAAAAGACACGGGCATAGTGTCACCTATGGCCTGGCTTTAAGTTTTACTAGCTTTGTGTCTTCCCACAGGAAAAGTGCAATGTCGTAGTGCGAGAACGGTGATGCTTGTTTGATGGGGCTTTTGCTTTAGATGAGCTGAACATCATCCTTGTTTCCTAGAAGTTCCCAGTAAAGGGAACTACCCTAAAGGCAGGTTCTTGAAATTGTGTAACTATGCTTTTCTGTTTCTTAATAGGGGAACTATGAACGAAGAGGAGCAGTTTGTAAACATTGATTTGAATGATGACAACATTTGCAGTGTTTGTAAACTGGGAACAGACAAAGAAACACTCTCCTTCTGCCACATTTGTTTTGAGCTAAATATTGAAGGTAAGGACACAATATAGGTTTGATTTTATGGCATGAATTTAACACAGCTGCTTTGTACTGAGCTGATTATAAGGTAAAAGAAAAGTATCTTAAATGATTTGAAATTGTGCTAAGTATGAATAGTATAGAGATTTGTTAAAATAAGGTTTCTGGAAATGAAGGTGCAGTTAACAGTTATGAATTTAAGAGAAATCTTCATTTTTGAAAGACCCCTGAAACAACCCGATTTTTCCTAATACAGAAATAAGTATGAGTGTTGACCGGGAAATGTGTTTTCTGGCTTGGGAGCTTATTGAACTGTCAGATTTTAGCAGACGTGTGTTTTTCATATTAAGAAATAACAACGATTTTTTTATTCTTTCGAGCCTGTTAGCAAGTATTCGAGTGAGATGAGCCCGAACTCTTCTGAGCAGGACCGTCTTAGCTGGTAAAATATTTTAAAATTTTTAGATTAACCTCCTTTCAGTGATCCCACACACTGTTAGAAAGTTTTAAAAACTGAAAAGGTTTTTAGTATTTTTTTAATAGTGTCCCTAAAATATATGAAGAAAAATTTTCCAAATCCAAAAGAAAAAAATCAAGCCTTTTTGGAAGTATTTATTTGGGTTGGAGCAGTTAGTGCTGTCATATTAAAATTTATTTATTTATTTTTTGTTTAGCTATTTGAGTCATATTAAAAAAAAAAAAACTTAATATCCCTGCAAAAAAAAAAAAATTGGCCTGTAATTTGAATTTTGAGTTGTAATGTATCAGTAGAGAGACTTTATTAAACCTCTAGATTTTGAACAGTTTCAAAAGTTATTTCCCTTTTTCTGATATTTTTGAAATTTTCATGATATTTATTTTCTGTTTACTAAGTTGGGGGTATGAAATGTTCTTAGCGTTTAAAAAATATATACTGGGGGGTTATATACCTTGAAATTCCTGTTAGGACTTGTTATTCAGAAATTGTTATGGTCACAAACAGTATGTGTTGGGAGATTATGAATTTGCTGTGGATTACATAGGATGTTTATAACTTTGGCTTTAATAAATGTAGTGATTATAACTAATTTCAAAAGATGACATAACAGGAACAGTGGTGTATGTATTCCCTACAGTCTCAGCTACTCCAGAGGTTGAGGCGAGAGGATTGCTTGAGCCTAGGAGTTCAAGTCCAGCTTGGGCAACATAGCAAGACCCCGTCCCTAAAAAATAAAAATAAAAAGATGACTTTAAAATGTTTCTTTTGCAGTACTTAGAGTGAAAATCTAAATTTATGTTCTTTGGAAATAGAGTTGGTTTCTGTATTGTTGACACATTGTAGAATTTTAATTTTAGATGAGTAAAAACATTAGAAATTTTCTAGTCCAAACCCTGTATTTTACATTTAAGGAAACAGAGCCAGCTAGTTGGACTGCCTAGGGTTGCTGTAGTGGTGATGGCAAGCTGTTGTTAATGTGCCCGGCCCTGTGTTAAACCCCGTACGTGGATTATCTTATTTAATTCAAGATAGATTTGGAATGAGTACCATCATTATCTATTTTAAATGTGCTAGAACCCAACGTTGGAAACCTAGGAAATACAGTTTAAAGTCATATAGCTCATTATTGACAGTCCTGGGTTTAAAACCTGGCAATCTGATTCAAGTATATGTGATCTTAATAGCATTGATCTACTGTCAATAGTTATTTTATATCAGTAGGGCTGATGTTCTAATTCTAATTGGTTATCCTTGCTATTCTCTCAGCCAGCTTTTTCTAACAGTGTTTCCTGGCAAATCATCATTAATGGAGTTCATGCCATGGTAGAATTTTTCCATAGAACCCTAAAATTTCTTAATTGCTTTTCTAACTTTTTAAAATAAGCCTTTTAACCGGTTCTTAGTCATTATAAAGAGCATATACAGATATTTCCTCAGGTACTATCTCTTAACATTTCAGCTCTGATAATATCTCAGTATGTGAATATGGAATAAGTCCTTTATTTTTGAAGTCATAGTTGCCTTCAATGTAAAAAGGCAATTCTCAATTTGAATTGGAACTATTTCATTTAATAATCTATGTATTGTCAAGGTTTTATATATTAAAATATCAATTTAATCTTTATAAGAAAAATTAGAGTCAGATAATCTCTATCTAGTGTCAGTTATTAGCTCACAAATACACAGTTTCATTTTTACTGCAGTGATAAGCTAATGTATCACAACGGTTTTGTTTAAGATTGTAGAAAAGGGAAATGAACATCTTGAATTGCACAAAATTTTAGTTTTTAATATCAGTTTACAGGTCTTTAGAAATCAGTGGGGAAAAAAGTGATAATAATTACATACTGGAAAAACTATGAGGTATATTTTTGTCCGTAAACCTTTTAAAATGTTTTTGGAGTTTTCTTTGCTCTACCAAGTTCCCAACACAATGCCTGTCAATAGACCAGAATGTAAGAGGGACTTTTTAATGAGATTTCACTTTAGTAGTTTAGTGTAATTTTTTGTAGCTTGGTAGTATAGCTCTTGTCTTATCTTAGGAATTGCTAACTTTGCTCTAAGCCCTCTTCTCTGAAAAGAGGCTGAGTAAAAATAAATTTTCCTGGGGAATAATAACAGTTCAGCTGGTTTTGAGTCCATACTTTTGTAGGAAACAAAAATAATATTTTCTACTTTTAGGATTGTTGCTTACATCAAATCAACACTGGTTTCCTAATCAACTAGCCCCTTGTTTAAAAGCTGTGTGCATGCGTATGTTTCTAAAATGAAGACAAAGGAAGAAAGAAATAACAAAAGACAATCTAATCTTATCGAACAGATTTTGTATTCTGGGCATGGCTCTAAATTGGCTTTTTCTGTGACTTTACAATAATGAAAAGGAAAGAGGAGCCTAAATTTTATATGCTTCCAAGCCACAGGTGTTATGCTTTGAGGACCTTGAGAAACACACTTTCAGGACTTAGATATTTTTAAATGTTCACAAGGTTTTTTTTTTAACCTATAATTCACCATTTGATATGGTTTGAATCTGTGTTGCAACTCAGATCTCATCTCATGTTGAAATGTAATTTCCAGTGTTCTAGGCAGAGAAATGTAATCCCCAGTGTTCTAGGCAGAGACTGGTATTAGGTGATCGGACGATGGAGGCAAAGTTCATATGAATGGGTTAGCACCGTCTCCTCAGTGATGTTCTCATGACAGTGAGTGAGTGAGTTATCATGAGATCTGGTTGTTTAAAAGTGCATAGCACCTCCCCCTCACTCTCTTCCTCCTACTCTAGCCTGTGAAGTGTCGGCTCCCCCTTTGCCTTCTGCCTTGATTGTAAGTTCCCTGAGGCCTCCCCAGAAGCTGATGCCACCATGCTTCCTGTACAGCCTGTGGAATTGTGAGCCAGTTAAACCTCTTTTCTTTATAAATTACCCAGTCTCAGGTATTTCTTTATAGCAATGCAAGAATGGACTAATACGCCATTAAAATACATTGTCTGCTTCTCAGATTAGGAGACAGATGCCTGAACTTCCCAAATACAGCCTGCCCTTGGCCCTAAGACACTATAAACTTTTTCATACATATTAATGACCAGATACTCTAATATGCATCTTAGTTCAATGTACTGAAATCTCTAAAGATATTTAATGACCAACTCATTACCATTCCCTAAGGAATACAAAGAGGAAGGTAGGCCAGGGTGGTTATGAGCCAGTAATGGAACTCCACTGTAAGGTAACAAAGCCCAAACTGCTTGAGCAGGAAAAGATCCAGGGCTCCAGTACTGTTGGTTCATATTATCAGTTTTCATCTTGCGCTAGAATAGTGTGCAAATAATTCTTAGAGCATTTCTCTCTTCTTATAATTGACTTGCTTTCTTTTCCATAAAGAAAACTTTTTTTTTAAAGCTAGCTTAGCTGAGAATACTTTAGCTTTTTTTTTGTTTTTTTAAATAAGGGTTTCACTATGTTGCTTAGTCTGGCCTCAAGCAGTTCTCCCACCTCAGTCTCCCGGCAAGCTGAGATTACAGATGTGTATCACCTGATACCTGGCTAAAACTTTTTTATAAAATTGGACCAATTCCTGTTATACAGGTTGAGCATTCAAAATCCAAACCGCTCCAAAATCTAATACTTTTTGAACATCTACATGATGCTCAAAGGAGATGTTTGTTGGAGCATTTTGGATTTCAGATTTTTTGGTTTGGAATGCTCAACTAGTAAGTATAATACAAATATTCCAAAATCTGAAGAAATTTGAAGGAGTTCTGGTCTCAAGTATTTCAGATAAGTGATATTCAGCCTGTACCAAAGTTTTCAGTGTAAGTTGACCTTGCTGGTTGATGAGTATGTGTCTGGCTGCTCTCTGTGTAGTTCCTCTTGGACTACTTTCTCTCAATTACTTCTTTCTAGGGACCTTTCTGCTTTCTAGAAGGAAACCCAAATTCAGCTCCTTAGTAATCTTTCCAGCAAGAAAAAAATCTGTAATACTGGTTAAGTCGTAGGTGCCTACTTTTAATTGCATTGTTCCTTGATTCTCTGTGTCTTTACCACATGCTGTTTGTGGTCAGTAGTCCGGGACCAATTTGAATCTCAGTATGAAATTCTTGATTTGGTTTGGAAGTTAGAACTGGTTATTTATGACTTGAAGAGGACATAAACTGTCCCTCTTAACTAACGGGGCCCACCACTTGGGATCAGGAAGCTATAATGAACTACTTAAATCTGGCATTAGCCTCTTTGATTTCCCATCCTGTAATGGCAAACATCATATATTAACTAAAAGTTGCACTTTGAAATATAAAGCCTAATAGGAATTCTGAACTTTAGCTTGGAGATCTTTAATATACTTATCTTAGTCCATTTTGAGTTGCTGTAACAGAATATCTGAGACTGGGTAATTTATAAAGAACAGAGATTTATTATTTCTTAGCCCTGTATTTGGGTGAGGCCCTTCATGCTGCATCACACCATGGCAGAAGGCAGGAAGTCAAGAGAGAGAGCTAAACTCACTTTTATAACAAAAAAGTGGTTTCTTATAAAAAGCT